GATGCTTTTATTTTGCATCAAAAGAAGAAAAAAATAGAACTTTTGATTAACAACAAAGATTTTTTTTGAAATGGGAGCAATTTTATCTTTGAGCAATGAAACAAGGATTAATTTTTTATTCAATCATCTTTAATCAAATCCAATAAATTATGTCATTAAATCTTCTTATTTATGATACTAAAAATAATTCTTTTAAATTTTATGATATTTTAAATTTTGAATTTAAAAAAAAATTATTATTTCAAGGGATCCTTATATATTCTAAAAGATAAAGAATAATTATGTGCTCATCAAGCTCATTACAATTTTCTACTTGTACAATATTTTGGATACAACAAGACTTTAGATTTAATATCAAAATATTTTTGATGGCTCTAAATATGAAAGACAATTAAAGACTTTGTACAATCATAAGATGTTTTTTAAGGTCAAAAACTCTTTGTAATTTATTTTATAAAATTTTCCAACTATTACCTATACTAAAACAACTATAGTCTTTTTTCTCTCTAGATTTTATCACCAATCTTCTAATTTCAAGTTCATATGATTGTATATTTGTGAGATAGATTATTTCATCAAGATGGCATATTTTGTATTATATACAAAAACTATCACAATTAAAGAAACAACTAATTTTTTTTTTGACAATATTTATTGCTATTATGGATGGTTAAAGAATATTATATTGAATAAATAGACTTAATTTATATCAAGGTTTTAAGAAATTCTTTTGAAGATATTGAAGGTAGACATAAAATATCTTTGATTTTCCATTTTCAAATTGGTGAACACATGAAATGGATGAGTCAAATTTTAAAATAATATTTGATATGCACTATCAATTACCATGAAGATAATTAGAAATTTTTTTTTATTAGAAATTTTTACTTAATATAGTAAGGTATATTTTTATTTAGTAATCACCTTTCTATATTAATTATGATTATTATCTACAACTTGATACTTTTGACTTTTCAAAACTTGATAATCCTATGGAAAAAGATTTTAAAAATTATTTATTAAAGATATATACCATAATAAAGGTATAGTCAAAAAATATTAATAATAAAAGAAAATGAATATAAATATCCATTGCAAAGAAAAACTTCAATTCCACATTAGCAAAAAAATATGATTACTTTGTCATACTATCAAGATTATTTGTCTTTGTGACACAATAGATTATCATAGATTGTGATCATTTTTTACTTATAAATAGATCAATCTAGTTGCTTATTGATTGTACCTATCAAAGTCTATAAAGATCCATCTTATATTTTATATATCTCTACTTAAGCCATATAAGATTATAAATATACTAAGAAAAAAATAAATGTCACTTCTTCTTATAGAAGTGGACAATAATTATGAATTTGAGATCAAAGATATTTTTAACCAAATAATAGATTAGTCTTTTTTCTTTGGTATAAAATATTATTTATAGCCAAGAAGTGCTATCAACTACCTTCAAAAGAAACAAAGATCAAAATGTATAGTAAATACAACTTTTTGCATCTTGAACTTCTTTAACATGGGATAATTGTTTTTTATAGAATTCATCCTTAAAAGAAGGGTTAATATCATAGATATATGTATATTTATATTATTAATTATCTAAATTAAAATAATTATATATAATTATATAGAAGTAAGTAAATTTAATAATATCTCATGAAGAAGATTCTTAGAAGAATTATGGATGTGAATTTGACCTTACACATGTTCATAAGTGATTGATAGGTTGAAATCTTGGCCAACAACTTGGCCACGTGTTGTATATATTGGTGAGTTGTTGTACAAGTTGGCCATATGGTACATATATAAGAAAATTATTTTGTAAGTTGGATATGTGTCTTGCAAGTTGAACACGTGTTGGAGGTCTTATAGAATGTTACTACATAACTCTTAGTTTGATAGTATATGTAGATACAAGAGTGAGGCCTTCTTCATTCTTATTAATTTTTTTTTTTTTTTTTTTTTTTTTTTTTTCTTAGATTTGTTTTAAGAATCTCGAGTCTTTTGTCTTTTTGTCTAGCCATTATAGTTTTAATATTGTATTATCTTTGAATGATTACTTCTATTAGTTAATAATACAAGAATGTATTGATTTTTTGATTATTTGTGATTCATAACTTTGATAACAGAGAAATATCAAGCTTTATGTGAAGAAACTTATTTGAATTTGCCAAAAAATTGAAGCCTTTATCTAATCTACAAATAATACAAAAGATATTTCACAAAAAGTACTTCAAAGAAATTAAACAATTGAAAAATAGACAAAATATTTTTTTACTTTTATTGTTGATATTTAACTAAAGATATGTAAATTAAGACCAAAGGTTGGTACAATATGGGTAAAAATTCATTATTCAAACACTTGATTTGTTGCTCTGCAATATATTTTTGAGGAATCCACATATAGAAACAAATAAAGACCATAGTAAAATTCACATCTTTTCTTTTTTCTTTTTTTCTTTATTTCTCTATTAACAGAAGATTTGAATACCTCAAAATTAGTAATGCAACAAAAAAGGAAAAAAGATCTATGAAGATGTATACTGAAACTTCAAGGATTCAAACATCTTACACAAGGAAAAAAAAAGTTTTAAATTATAATAAATAAATGAAATCCATCCATATACATCAATTTTCAAATTTAAATACTTACAAAGTTATATTTAAATTCCAAGGCAGTTAATTCTTTGCTCCCAATATTATTATAGGTTTGAGTTTTTGATGTGTACGTAAGCATGTATGTATGTAAATATACATCTCAAGAGAAACAAGAACAACTGAAGCTGTTCAACTGCTTCAGGTTTTCATGAACATGATGCATGTTTACAACCAATCAGGAACTGGACTGGTAAATAAATGAAAGAAATTAACAAAGGATGGATTGAAATATTTTCTGCACTTCAAAGTTCTTTAATATTGGACCCTAACATAGATAAATCTATTTTTGATGTTTAGGGAGAGAAGGAGAGAGCATTCATGCTTAATTTTGAATTGTGCACAGGTTCGTATTTGATTGTAATTAGGATTTCAAATAAATTCTGATAAAATACCTCAAAGATTGTAAATTTAGAATTATCAAATAAAGAAACAAAGGATTAATTAGTCAAAAACATACATGCATCTCTAGTTAAATTTGTACATATTATTTAGATGTTTTCATTGCTTACACATATTTGAAAATAGGAGAGCTTATCTTAGAAGTTAATCATATAAAACAATTCTTCTGTTTGAATATTGAACAAAAATATAAAAAAAGTGGCAATATTACTGTATTTGTGTGTATGTGTATATATATATATATATATATATATATACAGACTGTATATAAATGAAAATAACGACTTTTACCAAAAAAAGACTTTACACTTAATCAATAAAAAAATGAGGAAAAAAAAGGGCAGTTAAATTTGGGTTTTTCAATTTGAGTAGTATGATACCACTAGATTATTTGAGTACTTTGTTAATACTTCAACAGAGTGCCAACTAAAACCAAACATGTGATCATAACCTGTTGTTTCTAAATTTGTTTAACAGCAGAAGGAATATGAATATTAATATAACATGTGAACTAAAACACATTGTGATTGTAATTTCAAAAATGCCTTTCCCGTTGGAAAGACATGGTTATGATTTAAACAATCATGTCATATCCATCAAACATAGTTTTATTACTATCATCTTGAAACAATAGTTTTAAGATAAATAAAATATTAATTAACTTGGTATTTTGTACTTTTAATTAAAGATGCAAATCATGTGTGATGTTACTGTTAAAATAAATATTTATGTACACTTGAAAATAGAAATTATTATTACTATTGTTTTAAATTCCAAAAAAAATAGTTACAAATTATTTGTTAGAGAGAATTTACAGATATTTATACATTTTTTAATCTTTTAAAATGCAATACTTAGAATTTTTACTTGTAATTTTCTGTAATGAAAAAGAAGAAAAAAAAAAAATTGTACTTACTAAATGACTTTTTTTATAATATTTAATTGTAGAGCTGAAGTCAAATATACAATAAAATTTATATTTCCACAAATAAAAAAAAAATACATTAGAGAACTATTCAATCATCTATACACTCAAATGAATTTATAAATTTAAAAGCATTAAAATTCTGTAACATACTAATATTGTTTTGTATTAGATTATGTTGTTGGAAAAATATACATGCCTATATATATATATCCAAAGACACATGTCACATCATTTTTGTTTAAAAACATAAAAAAAGTCACATATTTAAAAAATTATGACATTAATTAAACAAAAACTAATTAAACCCATGTTGTAGGCACAAAGAATATGCAAAAAATTAGTTAATTTCAAAAATAGTAATGAGTAGCCACAATGAACTGTTGCAAGAGCAATTCACCAGATAAGCAAGCAAAGCAACTTTGTTTTAATTGGTGGATGATGTATGCAACACAGCCATGGCGTAGGAAATACAAAGCCCATCTTGGTTGTTTGTCCAGTGTTTTGAACCAAATATTGAATCTTCTTATGACTCTGTCATGGAGCGCATATGGCTACCCACATGTGCAATTTGAACCAGCTCTTGGTTTTGTTAAGGCCATGTGAATCAACAAGTTAAGTTAAGTTAAGTTAAGTTAAGTTTCCATGAAAACAATCAAACAAAAGTATTGATGAAAACAAAGATGATTGTGAATTTGTCTCCATTGATTTACCCCCCCCCCCCCCGTAATGTGTTCATTCTATAGTAGAGATAATCCGACGAAACAAGTACACCCATCGATACCCGGGTTTGTGTTGCTGTAATATACCCGGGAAGACTAACCCGACATCGAAACCGGGTATATACCCACGGTCATAAGGAGCAGCGAGTGGTATTCGACGACCGCGCAAAGAGTCGTCGTGTCCACCCGTCCGCCATGCTAGCCGTCTTTCTCTAGCCAAGCCAAGTGGCGTGGTGACGGGACAGTCTAACCCTCACTCACTCTCCCATTCCGTTTGCAAAGAGAATCCGACACACAATTCTCGACTAATTACTTTGCGCATCTCTCTCTGCTCTCGCCAGCAATTGCATCGTGTTTCATGCCCCTCTCTCCCTTATTCCATTCCATGGCCCCTGCGCCCGATCCCCTGCTTCTGCCTGGTTGTCTAAACACCGCACGCTGTGCTTTACGGTAGAGTTAGTTGCACAGCTTTGTTGGGATTTTCAGGAAGGAAGTTTGAGTTTCGGAGCCGATATTTGGTGTCAAGTTGGACTGTGTCCAGGTTATGAAGTAAGTGTTGGATTCTGTGGAGAAACGGGGGCGGGGGTGGTGGTGATGAGGATGTGCAGCAGCTCCGCTTGAATGTTTTTTGATGAGTTTGTGGTTTCTTGGTATTGTGAGTCCTTTGGAAGTTTGTGGATTATGTGTGGTGAGATTGATTGGGTTAAAAGATAGAATTAGGGGAGGACGTGTTTGAGTAGTGCATTGAGACGTTGGGATGTCCACTTGAGATAGGTAGAATGTGTGTGGACGCATACCTAGATTGCTACTGGACAGCCTCGGAAAGCCATTTGCTGTACAGAGTGATGGACATGGATGTTGATGTACTTTCAGATGTTTTCTTTTAATCCTTTTTTAGCATTGATGTGATTTTGAGTGAGAATGTTCCAGGTTACGCTGAAACTCGTGTCCAGAATCACGGAGCTGTTCATCTGGGGGGGCTTTTGAAGGGAAATAAACTGGGAATTAGCAGACGAGGCTTTACAGTATGAACGGATCCAAAAGTATGTTGAAGTTGGCTGCGGCAGCCCTGAGCAAGGGTTTGCAGGAATCGCCGTTAAAAAGTGGGTTGGCAGAAAAGGGAAATTTCTGCAGGACTGTGTTTCTTACGAGGAGGTACTCTGCAGAATGTTCTGGTAAAGAAACCAATCCCACTAGCAAAAAATCTGACTCTGGGGAAATTGATGTGGAGATTCCGGTGAAGTTTGATCTACATCTGTTGGAGTCTGGGCCATCCCAAGTAACTACCACAAACAAGGAAGAGCTTATGAAAATCTACACAGACATGCAAATCATCAGGAGGGCAGAAATTGCAGCTGACATGGTGTGTTGCCGTTTCTCATGTTACTATTCTATGAAATACTTCGATTCATATTTTCTCTTTATGCTATATACGATTCTCTGATGCCATATCCAACACTTTGTATCGTTACGTATACTATTTGGTTCACACCGTTTCCTGTGTGGACCAGCCTTTCATCTAGAAAGGCTGGTTGACGTTCAACTGAATTTAGGGTCCTTAGAAGAGAATGAAGATCTGGTACTGATCTACACGGAGAATTTTAGACTTGTATCGTCTCCTGAAGCTTTATTCCTCTCACTGGAATCATTTGTAGTATATCTTCTTCCAACCGTTTTTTTCAACTCTTAGTACACGTCTTGCTCATTTTACATTCAAAATTTAACCTTAATTGATCAACTTTTAAAGAATATCATCGGATTTTTCATTTGCGTGCAGTTGTTTAAATCTCAAATGATTCGCGGATTTTGCCATCTCTACGATGGCCAAGAAGCTGTTTCGGTTGGATTGGAAAGAGCCCTGTCCTACGATGATAATGTTATAACTGCGTACAGAGATCACGGCATTTTCTTAGGGAGGGGAGGTACTGTCTTTGTAAGTTATATATCCATCCACCTGCTGTACATGGTCATTGAGGCTCCTGAGGTGTCGCCTGGCCACAATATTTGGTCTATACATGCATTATATTGAGCTTAAGTAGAAGGATTTGTCTTTTGGAAGAATGAAGCTAATATGACAGCTTAGTTCCTTTCTCAAAATTTGTGGGAATCTTTATTTCATTTACCAACAACGCAACGCTTACCTGTGTTATTCTTTGAGTGGGACTTTGTGTGATTCTCAGGAACTGTTCTCCGAGTTGATGGGTAAGAGGACGGGGTGTGCTCTTGGCAAAGGAGGCTCCATGCATTTGTACCACAGGGAACACAACTTTTGGGGTGGGTGGGGTATTGTTGGAACGACTCCACCTCTTGGCGCAGGACTCGCATTCGGTCAGAAGTATGAGAAGAAACCTAATGTGACAGCGGCAATTTACGGAGATGGTGCCGGCAATCAGGTTTCCAGCTTCTAATATCATTTAACCTGCTCCCAGTAGCAAGCGTAATTGTTTTGTAATCTCCTCTACTGCGCAACGTCGATTACAAAACTGGCATAAGGTGTTCTTGTTACCTCAAACGATCTAATGTTGCCTAGTCCTATCAAAATCCATTTTCACTTTCGATCAGGATGGAAACATGTACTAATCTGCTATAGCTTACTACAGGATGCTATTACTAGGAGTATTTTAACAAAGGTTTTCAAAGAGTGATCATGTTCGTTTTCCTTCTCTATTAACAGTAACGGTAGTTCACGAAGATGGTAGTTCATCTTCGTGAGCTCATCATCTGCTTCTTCGTATCATGCTCTAATGCGATAAATATTTTCGACATGTTGGTTTGATGCTTAAGGTTTGAGCAAATTGGATTAGTACATTGTTCTAGGAAATAAATTCGATTTGAATTTCTGTGACAGCAAGGACATAACTCTCAAATTGTTTTTCTGTGTGCAGGGTCAACTTTTTGAAGCACAAAACCTTGCTGCTCTATGGAACCTACCTCTCATACTTGTGATTGAAAACAACCATGTAAGCTTATCTCTTCTCTTTCTCCCGCAAATAAAATGTACATGTGTCTGTAAATGATGTTAATGGAATCTATGGAGTTCTTTTTTCACAACATTGTTGGACGTAATCCTCCAAAGTAGATGGTTGATAAATTCATGTACTGATTGCCATGGGAACAGTTTGGGATGGGGACAGCAGAGTGGCGGTCATCAAAGAAGACGACCCACTATGACCGCGTTTCTTACATTCCAGGCATCAAGGTAAGTTCTAGACAACTTTGCTAATTGCAGAATAATCATGCATTGTAAGTAGCTGCAATAACATGAAAGAGAAGTCGATTGCGTTTGGCCAAGTGCTTAATTTCATTCATCTTTTTGACACGGAATATCAGATTTTAGGTTTTCAAAGTTTGCCAAAAATACTACGGTGGGGCTGATACATGAAAGGCTGTTACACTACATCCAGTTGAATCGTGATTAACACGCGTGCAAATCTTTGTGAGTTTTAGACAGATGGGATGGATGTGTTTGCTGTTGGAGAAGCATTCAAGCTCTGTAAGGAACATTGTCTTTCCGGCAAGGTACGTGGAATCCCGCCTGTAAGGAGCCAATACAAGTAAAGGATGTTCGAATAAGAAGCGTACAACAGATTCACCTGTACTACAACAAATATTCGACCTTATTGTAGATGAATTGTTTGATGATGAAAGAATTGGGTCTCTTCAAGAATGAGTACACTAGATCGATTGCAGTTCGTGACTGACCCAATCACTTGTACAAATTCTTGCAGGGTCCGATAACTCTGGAAGCAGATACTTATAGGTATCATGGTCACAGTATGTCAGATCCTGGCAGCACTTACCGCAGCCGCCAAGAAATTCAAGGGATGAGGCAAGAGCGCGATCCCATAGAACGCGTCCGTAAGATCATCTTGAAAGTAAGAGCATCGCCCCTGCAGTGTTGTCAAGAGCTTCTCATGACGCGCAGCTCAAAATGCAGACATTATCATACTTGTATTTGTGTTTGTCTGGAATAACAACCTAGAATATTATGATACATATTCATACCTTACCTTAGCTGAAATGATCTCTCAAACACATGAAGGTTGTTGATAGTGTTTGTCATCATCTCATTAGAGAAATGAAATGAATTGTCAGGAGGAGCTGGCTACAAACGAGGAGCTTAAGGACCTTGACAAGCAGATTCGGCATGAAGTGGATGAGGCGTCTGCGAAGGCTCGGGAGGCTGAGTTTCCAGGTGAAGAAGAGTTATTTGCTAACATATACAAAGCTGACTCTGGTCTCATAGTCACAGGCTGTGACAGAAAACACAGCAAAGTTCAGATGTCTTGATTTTCTTGTCAAAAGTTTGAGATATATTTGATCTACTGAGTACAAGTTTTAGGTGACGTCTAAAATTTTGAAAACTCAAACAAGTCATTTGTAAAGACTCCCAAAATATGATCAGTAATTGCAGAGCTGTAAAACAATTTCACAATATGTGGTTATTCTCTCTTGGTTTGATTTACAACACTCGCGAAGTGTATCAGCAATTTCGAAATGCAAGACATTGTTGACCGAAGCTTTTTATGGTTTTATGCATTAAAATCTACTAAATTTCTGAACTTTCCTGCTAATGAATATCCGGACTGTAACTTGTCCATTACTGGGTTTAAAACTCACTTCTACTGCAGCAGTTAAACCATGACAGCAACCTGGAAATGGTTACAAAAGCTTGATTTCGTGAACACATGTTGGACACCTTTTGTATTAAATGTTGACAGTTCCCATTTCAAATGACTCGGAATGTAATCTTTTCAATTTGAAAAAAAATAAATCAACCTGATGTTTTTTAAAATAAAAATAAAAAATATTGTTAAAATAAATGTTATCTTGTTTAAAAAACTAGAAACATGCATACTAACATTTGTTTTTAGTATTATTGTGAAATTGTTCTTAGTGGATTTGGAATTAGTCTAAAATTAATTTAGAATTTTGGTGTGCAACTGGAATACTTTTAGTAATAATTAGTTGGCAAAAGATAGTGTCTGATTCAATTATAGTCAAGTAAACAAGATGAATAATAATTTGTAAAAAAAGAAATTGTGTCCTTAAATCTTTTTGTGATGTTTTAGGTTGTACAAATTGGCATGTTCAGCAAATTCTTAGTTATTTATATATTTGAGATTGAATTTGGTTTTATTTGGTACCAACTCAAAAAAAACTTCAAGAATTATTTTTGTAATGTAATTATAGTTATTTAGAAAATTATGTGTTTTATCTAGCAAATTTAGAAAATAATTATATGAATCTTTCTAGGATCCTAATTCTACCTAAACAAGTAGAAGTAAATAGAAATAAATAGTACTATATTTCTCAAGAAACATTAGAAATGTTTCTTAGATATAACTTGAAATTATAGATGTGCTTATTGTGGTTTCTCTAAGAAATTTCGTTTTTCAAGAAAATTAATATGGAAGTGTCTTACAAGTTGGACATTTGGGTTGCAAGAGTTGAAGTTCTTAAGAAGCTTCTACACAATCTAATTGTTAGCTAGTATATATAGATGCAAGGTTAAAACTATCTTCAATCTTATCAACAACTTATCAACAATTTTATCAACATCTTTAGTTTACTTTATTCCTTCCAAGTTTTATATATGTGTATGTTGTCTTGTTACAAGTCTATTTACAATTGTGTCCATAATATTATTTAATAGATAATTTATTTGTATTAACAAATTGAAGAAAATTTATAAATAATGCAAAGTGGGATTAATTTTTAATATTGCTATTAAATATAATTCTAGTATTTTGATGGGAAATAAAATTGTAAATAATAATAAAATATTTAAAATGATATAATTAAATTAAAGTATATATGGTTATTTATATGTAATTTTAAAATATAATATGTTGATACTATAAATATTAAAAGTTTAATTATAATAATAATAATATAAATTTATATTATGTCTATGTAATATATATATATATATATATATATATATATAGTCATTAGTGACGATTTATAATAAATTTGTTAAATTATAGTTTGTTTTTTTATGTTAGCAATGTGAACCTAAGATATGCATCAAAGTGTATCTTTTTTAATTTATTAAATAAAATTATTATACTTAGCTGCATTAAAGTTATTTAGTTGAATAAGATATTATAAAGTTGTGTTGTTTCTAAATATTGGCATAATCTTAAATTACTAGCACTTATATAAGAAATGTAATTGGTTTAATAATAAAGTCATTTTTTCTAGAATATTATAAAAAGTATAGTACACCTGTTATTGTTTGCTACATATTTTTTAATTAAGTTTTGAAAAAAATTGAAACTTTCAAAATGCCATACAATGTGTCTGCATAAAGAATTTGTACATTTTATTAACACCATTTATTAATTTTTTTTCTTAAAACCAATACCAAAACATTATTTTATTAATAACTTATTTTTATTAAATTTTTAAAATTTTAAATCATATATTGATTATTTTGACTTAGCAAGAAATTAAACCAGATTTGTTTTAGCATTAAAACTAAAAACTAAGTACTCAGAATATTATTATTAATGCATTAAATGATATTTAAATAACATAAAAAATAATCTTAAATAAAATAAAATAAACGGATATCTGATTTAATTTTTTATTTAAATAAAATTAAGAATTTAAATCTAAATTTTACATACATATAAATTTAAAGAGTTTCTGATAGATTATTGAAATTTTGAAAAATATATTATCAACTTTAGAAATCCAAAACTAAAGCTTGTAACTTATAAATTTTAAATTATTGAATTTATTATCTGAATTTATCTGAATTTTTTGGTTAAGAACACTTTTTAAAAATATATGTAATGCTTTGACTACTAACTTTTTTTTCCCAAATTAATTCAAATTTTTTAAAATGTCTTTAGCAACAATGTATTCTTATTTATTTTTGTATAAAGTAGACTATTTCATCTATATGAATTGGAAGTGAAAAAGTAAGTTAAATTTTTAACCTAAAATTTTAGCAATTTTAGCAAATTGTAGAAATTTTTATTTTTTATTTTTTAATTCTACTTTCCTCACAAGACTTGTAAATCTTAAAAAGAGTCATTACAAAGCATTTCTTCAATCAGACTTAAATCAGAGCACCATCAATAGAAGTTTTACTAAAAATTTGGTTGTGATATTGTAGAATATGAGAAAAGCAATAAAATTTCACCCTTTGCTTGTTGAAGTGTCCAAAATTGTTTCAAATTAATAATTAAAATCGTAAATTACTTGTACATTATTATTCTCATTTACATATATATATATGTGTGTGTGTGTGTGTGTGAGTGTGGCTGTGTATAAATATTATGTCAGTGATGATATTTTTTGAATTAATTTCACAGGAGAAAATATCATGAAATATCAATTACATGAAATTAGTCAAATTATCAACACTTCAGTTTTTTGTTTGTGCACATCCACTTTGTGCAATTGTAAAACAAAAAAGAATTGGAGTTTTAAGAAATCACATCACAGGAGAAAAGAATTTCACTACCAGTGAACAATTTTGACTACTAAGTAGGGTTTAACATCACATGAGTAATTGTTGTACACACTCAGTGTTTGAAACACTTAATTCAGTGAAAATACAAATAGAAAAACATGAATAATATACTCTAAACGCACAAACTTCAATAATCCGACATAGAACCCTCGTCCTACTTCAAAAATTCACATGTAAAGAGAACACCGTATGTCATGCATTCTATGTACATAAAATACTTGATAAGAATTACATTCCAACGTCTATCAAGCAACGGAGGTTGAAGAGGTAAATTGTATGTAAAAATATATTTACATATATACACACACATACACACATATATACATGTGTACTGGATAAATTCAAGCTCATTCCCGAAAGTATACTTTTGTTATCTATACTAACATCATTGAAAAGTGGACACGGCACCTCTAGCAAGATCTAGCTTAAAAGGTCTCCGGAGAAGAACCTTGGCTGCAGAGTGTGTGTAGCTCCCTCAGGTTGTGTAGAACTCGTGGTTCAAGCTCTGTAAGATTTGTGTCATTGCACATGGCTCCTCGGTTTAGCCATCAAAATTGTTGGGGTCTTTTTGCGGAGCACAGTCCCCAGAAACTCCTCCGACACATCGAAGTTGTCTGCAGTAACGCCATCAGGAAACGACCAGTCAAAAGTGTGCAGAAGATTGGCCAACATCAACAAGGCCATGGTGAATGCCAGATTGGAGGCAGGACACATCCGCCGACCCACTCCAAATGGAATCAGCTGGTAGGAATCGCGACCAGAGAGGGGGTTCACTTCCGGATTCTCCATGAACCTTCTGGGCTCGAACTTGTCTGGGTTTTCATACACACTTGGATCCCGATGTATCGCATATTGGTTCACTATCAACCTTGTTTGAGCTGGCAAATAGTATCCAGCAAACTCACAAGGTTCGTAAGAAGATCGCATGACGTTGAGAGGGGCAACAGGATGAACACGGAAGGTTTCCTTCAGAATCGCTACTAGGAATGGCAGTTTCTGGATGTCGGACTCCTGCACAAACCGCTCAGGATCTGCACCCACCACTGCGTCAATCTCCTCCTGAGCTTGCTTCCGCAATTCTGGACGGAGCATGAGCTCTACCATGGCCCATTCCACTGTAATCCCAGTCGTCTCTGTTCCAGCGATCATGAGGTCCTGCGAATGCATGATCCACCAAATCTTCCACGTGAGTACGAGTTCCATCAATCATTAATTGTTGAATTCAGTCCTGCAATTGATATTTACCGTGAGCAAAAACTTGATGTCTGAATCTGCAAGTGGCTGGCCATCGTCCAACGGCGCTTTTAACAACACATCTACAAAATCTGGCGAATACTCAGACTTGATATCCACTGAAGCCCTTGCAATAGCATTCTTCCTGTGCTCCTCCACATCCAGAACACTCTCCATTTGTGCCTTTGCCGATTCATGACTCTCACGAAACCGTTTAGGCAATCCTTGTAGCTTTGCAATGAAGGTCAAGGATGGAATGAAGTCGCTGATTACAAAGGTCCCTGCTGCTCTCGTCCTGCTTTTCACCATCCCTTGAAATTCTTCCTTTTTTTCCGGAATTTCTGCTCCAGTTCCGTAGTATCTGCCACATTCAACAAGCATGCTTCAAATCCACCTCAGAAGTATCCATGGAGCACAATCGATGCTCTTGATTAAAGGCAATTGACTATCAATAGCCCCACCTTTTGTTGATAAGCATTCGAGTCATGTTGTTGGTAGAAACCCCAAAAAGCCAGTCCCCGAGGTCGATGGGTTTCCTTCGCTTGCATTCATGCACAAGGACGTCCAGCATGTTCTGAATCTCTTCTCTCCTCACTCCTTCCTGAGAGGCATGGGTACCTGGGGAGAAGAGCTCCGTGTTGCACATGCGTCGTACTTGGCGCCAGTATGACCCATAACCAGCACTTGACAGACTTCTCATGGCAGAATCTCCGTATTGAACTTTCCTGAAGTATGTCTGAGGCCGGTCCGAGAATGTTGCATCGTGACTCTTAAACATGGACTCAACTACCGCAACGGAAGAAACCACGAGACAAGGAATTTGTCCTGAAAGCAACCAAAAACAAGTCCCAGATAAGTAGAAAGTTCAGGCCCTAGAACATGTTTTGAAGAAGGTTGCAGAAAAAGAACAAGAAAGGAGTCTTAGTGCCAAGGCATACCCAACCCGAGGTACATGAGGCCTCCGTATTTTGCACCCAGCGCCTGTAAAAACTTGTGCCTTGCACCCGTCTTCCGGAGGACAACACCCAAATTGCCGATAAAAGGCCATGGCCAAGGACCCGGAGGCAGCTTCTTCCTTCGTTCAATCGCCGATAGAACGTGTAAGATACACGATGTTGTGAACATCACAAACAACACCGTCCCATATACGGAAACATTCGAGCCTTCTTGGAGCCAAAGTCTCCAATTCTGCGTCATCTCCACAAATCCCATCCAGCGACTTGAATTGAGACTACAGTGAGAAGTTCGACCGAGCTGAACCTAACAAACTTCAACTTCACCACTGTGAGGCAGCGTCTGGAGCAATTTTTTCGCATAAGAATATTTGGAACCGAGCTTTTGAATAATGCCGAGAAGTTGATAAAACTATAGAATACGGGGTCCTGAAAGTACCAGCAGATCAGAATCATCATGAGCTTTTGAAAGTGTACTGGAGGACGGCGAGTGACGTAGTCAGAGTTTGGCCACATAATTTAATCATCCTTAGTCACAAAATTGTCATATAATTTGACCATCCTCCGGCCACCGAAGCTGAATTGAGTTAAACGAAAGATTACAAACCTTGTGGACGATCCACCATAATTCTGGTGAAGTTTCGTCACGTTCTCTTCTGTTATTTAGTGCACCAGAGCAGAACCCTTTGACACATGTGAAGCGTTAAGGTAATAACTATCACGAAGCTTCAAACCCAGTTTAAACTGGAAAGCCTACACATGTTCAAAGAGAATGAATGAGCTACTGACTTGAACTAATCCTTCAGTTTTAAGTCCAGGTCGAAGTCAATGCCGTATTCACGGCCTTTTAATATTTGGAGTGGCTACCGCATGTTACAAAAGATAACGCAATTCGTGGTGTGCGAAAACTAACAATGAATCTTTCGTACAGGACGACCATCACCAGTATTCCACAGGATAGAAAGTGACCAACAAATAGAATAGAGAACTCCATTTAGTGTTGCATGAATCTTTGAACTGGGGTGACGAGGCCAAAGATTGAGTTTATTTTCAAGGTTGCAAGTTTTAACGCCCAATTCTCGTGCACTCTAAACCCGACAATAGAACAGAATGTTTAAGTACAGTCAATTAACTTGTGCAGTTCTACCTTGTTGCGCAACACGCCATATTACTTATGAACCTTCATTTTCACAAGCTTACATCTTAATTTATTTCCAAGGATATTCATCTTAAATTCTGAAATCGAGTTGAAAGATGTAAAATTTCGCAGAACACGTATCCACCACCCACTCTGTCCTTTTTACTTCACCGTCCGTCATCCATGCGTGTCATTCTCGTAGCTGTGTCGCACTTTGTCCTCAGAATTTGTGAACAATTTACTGACAGGAAACCTATTGTTGGCAGTGTCTAAAATATTGGTAGGAGGATTGCGGGGTTAAGAATTTGGGATTTCAAAAAAGACACACAAAATCATCGATGAGCAATTATACAGGGTTAAGGGTTCAGGATTTATAAAAATGTTCTGGTGCGAGGAGCCACTTGAATTCCTCGTTCATCCAGTACCAGGTACCAAATGTATGCCCATTCCACCACGGCCGTCTGATATATGACATGCAAAGAGCTTACAGAACTCGCATTTGAACTCTCTCTATTATGGTCAGTAGTTTCTGAAGATGTCCAATGAGAAGAGTGACACACAGCTGCATGACTAGTAATCAGTACATTGCTTTAGTAAATGCGAACAGAAAATCCATGCAGTTTTTGTGGCAGGAAGGGACAACAAATCTGACACTAACCGGGATCAATCGTCTCATGCCGAGGCTCTATTGCAGAGTATTCCAAATGCTTGAAAAATAGAATCGAGTTTTGTAATCTGTAGTATTGACTTCAATAAATCCTTTGCAATTGCAAGATACAGTTTCTATCTTAAGGATGAACTTCCAAACCTAGCTAATCCCTGCTGTACAGCTCATCCAACTTCACTGTGCAACCACAGTAGTTAGAAACATTTCACAGCTGTTTCACTTCCTAAAACAGAAACAGCAGCATTTCTGTATACCTGTATGACTACTTGCAGAGAACACAAAGCGTGTTACCCTTACCGAAATCACCGTATCCAGCATGCCAAAGTAATCTAACACAGCATGTTCGTAACAAGTTTCCCCATTTGATCACATTAGCCTACAGGCTAACAACTCAGATACACTGAAGCTCTTAAGTTAACAGAAATCTTAATATCCCATGGTCTTCGTCCCCAGCATTAATCTAAGAAAAGCTTTGAAGCAAAATTTGCGTTACTACAAAGGTCACCATATTGCCATTCTCTCTACAAGTGCCATTACCAAAAGTCCTACCGCGTGCATGTATTCACAACGAAACCCTTATAAAGCCGAGGCCGCTTGCACCATGGAATTCGATCTTGTCTGTGGGAAAAGCCTCCCAGTTACCTTTAGTGTACATTATGGAAACATTCTGAGGTTGAAACGTAAGCCTCGCTGCGCAGTCTCGATGCGACACCCACAAACCTCAATGAGTAATTTACAAGTTACTGCCACTGTAGAAGCTTGCTACTCACCAGAATCGTACTCCAAGTCCGTCCAAAGGAAGTATAACTGTAGTGATGAGGAGGAACGACATAAGATAACACACAATATTCCTTTCTCATTACACGTTGTTCATTTGAAGGTAAGGAGTATCGCGGTCGAACCGAGCACGATACTCAAGATCATCGTATGCCAGTCTGTTATACAAAGAGCCATGGCGAGGTTCTTTGTAACCGGAGCTGTACACACTGTCAATATATGGGGAACTGTAACGACGCAAATAGGACGAATTGTAGCGTGGCGGGCTTAAATAGCCATTATACACCGAGGAATGAGCATTGTACGCCGAAACATGGTACCCAGGAGCACGGTAAGCGTTCACGAGAGACTTCGTGTGAACCTGGCCAGTGGCAGGATTTCCAGAGTACTGCACGGGCTGAGTGGCCATCTCCCAGTACCTGGATTTCTTCTTCACCCTCCTAACCCTGCGAAGAGCCTTTTCGGGGTCAACGTCGCCAGAGATGATCACTTTCTGTCGGTATTGATCACATACAACGTCCCGAACTCCTTCAAGGTCTGAAACGGCCTTGCGAACTTTCTCCACGCAATTATCACAGCACATTGGAACATGAAGAACCAGACCCTGAGAGAAGAGACACGCATGATCAGATACAATCTCACTTCAGCTTTGAATTCATCGCTACATAAGGAAAATAAAATACCATTGTACGAATTAAAACACTACTCAGAATCCTCAACAGAAAGAGTTGTCAGTGCATACATACCTGAGGGTGAGTCTTCACGTTCCTCTCAAAAGCGACAGCAGGCACTATGTGAGACTCCGTTGATGAAGGAGCAACAAGCGCTCGAGTGCGATAGCGAGTTGGACTAAGCTCACGAGGGCGGTAAACCGGAGCAGGCATCATCACTGGCCTCCTCTGGTGGCGGTAAGGATCCGTGTTGACAAAATATGTTGGTTCAGGCGGCCCATAGAACACCTGATCGCAAAATGTAATGATAATGTCAGGATAGACCCACAGACACACAAAAATGAATCCTTCTAGACAGTATTCACGCCAACTGCGGCCCTCAATGAGAGGACCTTTCCCGAACAATACTTGCAACGATCGAACAATGAAATTGCATCGCTCAACTGATGAATACTGAAAATCCAAGTAGCGGAAGACGCAAATCCTTCGCAAGCGCACATACCTCTGAAACACTGGGCAACTCAAATCGCTTCTCCCAGGGATCCATACCGATTATCTGCTACCCCACAGAACAGTACTTGGAGCTCCTAAGATCACGTAGCACACGCTATACTCACAAGACACAGTTCCTCGGCGATGATGCAACCACTGAGATTGGAACACAAAGTCCAAGGAGAATCGAAACACACACCAACTCTTGAAATATTACACAGATGACGGCAAGTGATGAGCTAAACGTCAACGTGCAAAACCCGATACAAACTTACGAAGATCGTTGAGCAATCCGCGCTAGACACCCACACACTGAATGAAGTGCGAATCGTTCATCTGACAAACCATGCTGCAAGCTACACTCTTGAAGGGTTGGAAACGGGGGGGGGGGGGGGGGGGGGTGGGGGCAGATTCGTTAGAACTTCCTAGACAAGCCAGAAGAATGTGCACAGGTGTGTAAAACTGAATGGAAATTTGCAGCACGCAGATCGAGGACTTGGATGTCATCTATCTTGAACAGAGCTTGGCATGCCACCACGTATTGACTAAGCTAAAGATCTCTGCCCCTACCCGCCTCTTGCCCCTAACACGTATCGCAATCCGAACATAGCGGCCTTATACAAGGCCGCCTGCCTTTTGATATCCAGTGTCAAGTGGGGGCCCAACGATCAATCTGTCGGTTGTCTTTGGGCCCCATCTGAGCTCACGAATCTCCGCATCCAGTAATATGGTGGTGAGAGTGGCTTCATCACCACGCCATTGCTCTATTCCTGCTGCATTCGTGCTGAATTCTGCGAAGCGCAGTGTCCAGATTCTGGCCAACTGTAATTAGGATTGTTACTCCGGACGAAGCCGGCTTCACTTGCGGACACATTCTCATGCCCCTCACTCGCACCAGCCTAAACCCATCTCCCACACCAAGCCATGAGCTCTTCCACAAAGGTAAAATCTTTGTCGTCAAATTCGTCTTACTGAGACAGCTGGGTATTTCATCAGACCAGTAGTTTCCCTTGAAAATCAAGTTGATGTCTACTCGTTCCGTTCACGACCTAACAGTCGACATAGAATGACAAATTTATAAGGCTTTGTCACGAAATATCAGTCAAAGTGGCTGCGGTGAATGCAAACTGTCCCAACACATGTCAGTAAGGAAAGAACTCCAGGTGGACCAGACTGGTTCAGTGGGCCTGAACGACGTAAGCCTTCAAGAGACCAGGCACCCAATTACCATGGGATAATTGTGGTGGGGTCTGCAACCCCACCTCCGCCCCCAGCACACCACCGCAGACAAAACGCCTGAATTTTTACCGCTCAGAATAAACAAAATGCCCGAGGAAGCAGGGGTCTTGCAGACCGTTGGCGCTGTCCTGGAGCTTATGCAGCGGGCGACAATTTGCTGACACAGTCTAGATAAGCAAGGAACGACGCGTCAGAACCTCGGAGATGTACCGATCTTTCTAGAGAACATTCCCTGCATTGTTTGATTCCAACTACTTCGATAAGGAATAGAGGCCTTGCCGCCCTGAGGCAGTGATTGGGCCACCGCTCTCCGTAGAAACTCGTTTTGCGGTGGCGGTGGTGGTGTTCGTGATTCTCTCCTCTCCTCCATCTTTGCAAAGGGGACAAAATCCTTGTTTTCCACCACAATTCCACATCTGGGCTGCTGTTTCCGTGCCCTTTGTTCAGCCTCATCTTCACTCTTACATTTCCATTCGTGGGTATTCCTTTCTTTTTTGCCTTATTTACTTTATGGCTTCGAAAAGACAATGGATAGGACATATTATAATCCAATATATGAATATTGTGTCATATGTCTTTCTTATATCATTCTTTTTCAACCTATTTTCTTGACTTGACACTTACGTTTGTGTTTCATGACATCGGTATTTGTTCTTTCTAGGTTCAGCCCAGCACCCACATGTCTAATAATTGTCTGTATGTGTATTACACTTTAATCTATAACAAGAATCGGTAGCAAATATAATGTGAAACCAGTCAAAGCTAATGTGTGCTATTGGGTAGTGAAACCGTAGCCATCGTCAGATTACCAGTCCACACCATTTAGAATCGATATTTGCACTGTTTCACGGCGTGCACACTTTGACACCAGTCAAAGCTCAGGATGGTGTCGTCTGGATCCAGTCAATCAACATTGAATTCTGCGTGCACTCCGATGCTCCATGGTTAAGACACGGTTCAGTTTGTAGCACTATCTTTTTGTAGCTTTAAGATATGCTTTTCTTGGAAAATTAATAAATATGAGGTTTTTATTTTTATATTTATTTATCAAATAAAGTTGATACATCTACAGAGCGCAATGTGGGAGATTTTTACCGTCACTATCAAATTAAGGTTGTCTCACAGTCTCCTATTTAGCAGTCCACAGTGTTCGAAATAAATGAAGAACAAATCCAATTAATTGTTGCATATTTATACAATTATTATTTTTATTTTATTTCATATTTTGTTTTGTTTTTCTTTGGTTTTGTGGTGTTTGGTGTTGTAAATTAAGTTTCAATTTGTGGTGAAGTGTTCCACCAATAACTTCCTGTTCGCTTTCTTTTTTTCTGATTGCATCAATCAATCAAAAACTTCTAATTAAAATCTTTTTACATTATTTATCTTATTAATGTGTCATAGATACTTAAAATTGAATACGTGATGCTAAAATGCTGCTACCACATTTAGAAATCAGCATACTAGGATAATCTCTCCTTATTCTTCTATCATTTTCCCTTCCTTGAATTATGTAGTAAAAATGTAAACACTTGTAGATAAAAAAATTCTCAAAGAAAGATAATACCTAATGTCTTATTGAAATTGATTAAGAAGTTTAAATTGAATAAAAATATTTTTTTATTATTTTTATTCTTATTATAGTTGTGTCTATTTTGGTTGGACCTTCCTGTTACAACAACATAATTGACATGAAATATTTCTGTGTTCAATATGAAATTATACTAAATTTGTAAATCATAACTTGAAATTCTAAAAAAAATCACTTGAATAATTCAGATTTTATTTTCTCTTGTAAAAATCTATTTCATTGTACAGTTTTCATCAATAATTGAAAATAATATAAAGGGAAATAAATAACAACGAAATACAAACCAACTTTCTTTCTACAGCTTCAATTTAATATTTATTTCTAAAAGAAAGTATACTCCCCCTTCCTCCCCAACACACACACACACAAATAAACAAATAAATAAATAAAAAGATGAAGGAAGGAAGTGGGGCCAATATTCAACCATCATGTACATCTAACATAAGCTGTGCATGTGGGTATTCTAAGAAAATTCAACCTTTAAAAATTAAAAAAATTAAAAAAAAATGTGAATAATAACACTATTCTATTGATTGTTAATTATTATTTATTAATTTGAATGTCATAGAATTCTTCTATTTATAGAACCTCAATACTAATCACTTTGTATTATAACTTTATCACTATTTATCTAATCATCTGTAAAAACTAGTTATAAAGCCATGTATGTATTGTAGATAAAAAAAGAATATATTGATGTTGTTTTACTAAAATGGATCAAATTCTGGATATTATTTAAAGACCTCAATTTTATAAAGATGCTTTTTAAAATATTTAAAAAATATTGTATACCATTTATACCAATAGCAATATCTTGTAGTATTTTAGATATTATTTTGATATATTGTAGTAACTTAAAAAGAAAATGACGTATGATTTATTTTTTTAATATTTTTTTAGAATTTATATAATTTTTTATTATTAAAATAAAATAAAAAAATACTTAAGTTTTTATAAGTGAAAATAAAAACTAAGTAAACATCTTTGAATTTTTTAAAAAGGCTTTTACTATAGGATTGAAGACTATCAATTATATGTCTTGTTTTGATACACATGTTTATGTAATTGTTATGTAAATTATTTATAAAATATTTATTTTATAAATTATGAAATTTTCATTGATTCTTTAAAATAAAACTCATTAAATTTTAGAACAAGAAAAAAGCTCAAGAAGTGTTAAGTTAGCCAAAGGTTCTCACTTATTCAACAAACTTGTAAGTAGAGGTCTAGTTCAATTAATTCTAGTCTAACAGATTTTTTTTTTTCAATATTATATCATTCTATATATATTTCTTATTAAACATTACATTATATATTTTTTTGTTAAAGCCTAATTAATGCTAATTCATAATTTAAGATACCACATACATTTAATTTTTTTAATACTTACATAAATATATATATATATATATATATATATAATACCTTGGCTTTAAAACATTTATATGTATAAAGTAGAAATTGTCTCTCAATTACTAGAAATAATTAAGTACCAAGTAAAGATTATTTAGAAAGTTGTGTTTACTTTCTTTTGGCTAAAAATTTTAACATTTTTCTAAAAACCAAATCTATATCTTATATTTTATTAATAATTTGGTTATCTAATAAATATCCATTTTTCATTTTTGATAGATTTTTTTATACATGTTGAAATTTTTTAATTTTTATTATTTTGCATGTTGGAAGAAAATAAACTACCAAGTTGCACTTATATTATAGAGGTACATACACTTATGCACATATGAAAGCAAACAACATAGAATTCATGCCTTTAAACCACTCTTACCTCCATTTCTCCCATCTCCTTTTCTTTTTATGAAATCTAGAAGGAGTAGCATCTGAAAATATTTTTGATTATTTCACTAAAAGTAAAACTTTATGTATTGAATTCTTATGTTCAAATTTTTCTACACATACTTAGAAGAAAGTTTAAAATAAATAAGGTTAAAACTTCTAATTTAAGTTTATTTTTTGATATGAAGTAATTATATAAATATATTAAAAATATTTCTAAAATAAATTGATCACAAAAAAAATGATTAAATAGGAATAATAATGTTTAAATAAAAAAAATTATAAAATCTTTATTTTAGACAAAGATGTTTCTAAAAAAACAAAACATTACAATTAGTAGCACTTTAGTTATAAAATCAAGTTGATTTCTTGGAAATTTTGTAATTATGTCCAATATATTTGCATTGACTACATCCAAACATTCTTTTGATTATTCCTATATCCTCCATAAAAATTCTATGCTTCTTTAGGCAACCAAATGGATGTTGTGTGAACAATGGTAGAATTAGAGCAATATCAATTTTGTTGTTGCTTGGTTTTGTCCAATATATAATGGATTGTATTGGGATGATGAATATAATATAAGTTATTTTTTGGACTTAAAGAATATGAAAGTAAGAAGTGTAATTGGCAATTGATTGTCTCCAATAGAGTAGAAAATTAGTTACATAGACACATTGAATTCCAAATAATTGCCACTAGTTACAATTGTATATACGATTTTATAAA